GAGAGAGAGAGAGAGAGCATACTGAAGTTATTTCAGCCAGGGTTTAGAAATGTGTACTGTAGCTTCTCTATGATTCCTGTCTGTCATTATGCTTCCAGTGATGCTTTGAATGCACATCGTTCAACATGAACTGATTGTGAAAAGGATGTGATTGGAATATGGGTGGATTCACCTGCTGCTGTTTTCAAACTGATGAAAATTAGTTTTCCATAGTTAAACTGACAATGTCTGTGTGAAACAAATATTTCTAAAACTAACAGAGAAAGGGTTTTTTTTTTCCACACCAAAAAAATATATTATAATCAATAAAGTCCTTGAAAAATATTTTAATTTTGTTAAACACATTATATCATCAGTGCTGTAATGAAAAAGAAGAGCCCCATTATGGCAGCAGGTGTTAATGAAGATGTTATTTTGTGCCCATAGATTCCTCCTCCTTTGACTCCTTTGTGTGTTCAAAGAGAGAAGCAGCAGGTTGCTTATTCTGAGTGAGGTTATAATTCATCCACCTTGACACTGTGAGATTAGTACAGATATTACTGACTTTACAGTGGCCATATTGTAATGTCATTTTCTTAAGGATATATTTGCAGATATGTTTCTAAAATTACTCCAGAAATGGTTCTTTTAATAATAGATTAATCAGTTTGAATGGTGAACAGTGTGATTTATGTTCATTTTCAATAATGACATTTTCAATAATGACATTTGAGATTTGAGTGTACTAGAAAGTAATTGTTTCATGCACCAGGTAACGTATAGGATACTGTAGATGAGGGGAGAGGTACAACATAGTCTAATCACTTTCTATTGTCGTGCAATAACCCCCCCCCCCTTAATTTCTGTGGTGGTGATGGTTTGGAATGAAGAGAGAAAATCCCAAACATCAAGCAAAGAAGCAGCAGCAGCTCATCTTATTACCTCTAGAGGGAGTTAGTTCCATTAAAGCTTGAGGTACATTGTCATATCAGACAAGCATGGGTATCAGTGAAGTAAACTGGAGCACTTGACCTTTCCATGCAGAGCACACATGATGTTGTTTGTAGTGTTACAATACAAAGCAAAGCAAAGAATAAAAAGTAGCCACTGGAAATGTAAAATATGTTTATAATACATGAAATAATTGACAGGAAAGGAGCATTCAGGACTTCTTTCCCCAAATAATAACAGCCTGTCCTTCATCAATCGTTGTTGTGGATAATTTGCCAGAAGAGCCTCAGTCGGCAGGTGTAGGACTTTGGGTGATAATTGTGGTCATGAATGCAGAGACTTATTTAGTGGATTGTGGCCTCTGGAGCAGAGCAGTGTAAAGGGGGGGGGACTAATTTGTCTAACTAGTGTGTTGATGTTTAGAGGGAACAGTATGCACGAGTCTAGTGCTTCTCCTTGCTGTGGCTTCTGGTCTTTCATCAGTCACTGTGCTGAGGAAAGCAAACACAGTGTGGGCTCCTTCTTTATGGGAATACCTGCTTGTTGGCCCTGTACTAACTCAGGACTAGGACAGTGAAACATACCAGAGATTGATGCATTGTTTTAAACTCTTTTACCTCCACTGAGGCAAGCTACTGGACCCAAACATTATCCAGGATATTAAGTGATGCATTACGCCTGTGCCTCTAATATGCAAATGTAAAATGTCATTTTTTGCAGATTTATATTTGAAGAAAAGCCCTATAATGCCTCTATTAGACTGTCAGACAGTGAAACTAAAAATAGGAAAAACTGTAAAGTATTATGATGAAATATTATGAAATATTATGAGATCTCCCCCCTCCCTCTCCTCCGTCCCAGCAGTTTGGTGTAAGGGATGTCAAAGAATAATGCTTGTCTTTGTTTCCCAGTCTGAACTAGCCCCACCATTCCCTGGGTGTAGGACCGTGTGTGTGTGTGTGTGTGTTTGGGTATGCGTGAGTGTGTATGTATGTGGCACTGGGGTGCGGAAGGTTAAGGTCACTTGGTCAGTCCCTGTGACCGTCCAATGAGAGAATCAGTCGACACCTGTAAATGAAGTCAGGCAGGTGCATAAACCCTCCCGACCAGGGATGGATGCACACTACAACTTTTTTTTTTCTAATACCAGATTTAGTCCTATTTTAGCGTTAGTCTAATTTAGGCCCTGAGCTTAGGGGCGCATGAGAGTGTATGGCATCATCCCTCTTGACAAAAAGTTTGGCACAAATTAAAGCTGACACAAAACAGAGTTATTTTGTCTTTTGTTCATTTGTTTGCTGTCTTTCACTTTCAAGCTACTGTCCCCTCAGTAGCTTGAAAGTTTTTTTTTTTTTAAACTGCAATAATAGATTTTTTGGCCACTTGGGGGAAGCCCACCAAGCTGTACACATAACACTGATATATTATCACTATATAAAGGTTTTATAGCAAACATGTTAGCAACAGTTGCCTATATACATATGCGCCAACATTAGCATTTATTTGGAGTCGCATCTCTGAGCTCCAGACAAATATTAGTCCAGTATTTAACTTTAAATAGTAAAGTTGCGACCATAAAACCAAAACACTGAGAGAGTCGGATCATAATTGTCTTTATTACAAGCGACACAGGTAATCATTTCCTCCATTGTTAATATAAAAATATTGATTAGGGTGGTGCAGTTTTTCATCCAGTAGCACTATGGCGCAGTTTATATGACTGGGTCCCTGTTTTGTTTGATGCATCAACAAAGGACAAGAAGAGGTGCCAGCTAGTAAACACAAATGTAAACAATTCTGCAAATGTTTTACGAGGTAGGAAAGGCAGTTGACATGTTTGTTAGACCTCAAGGGTACACACAAAGAGTTTTGGTGAGTAATGCTGAATGTAAACAAAACATAGCAAAACATTTGTTTGCTCTCAAGGAAACGCCACAGGGCACCTGTAAGGGGAACGCCATCATTCCCCGGTTTAAGCTCCAAATATCATTCGGTTACCTTGTCATATTCGTATGACATTGCATAAATCCTTTTACCTCTGCCTTATTAAGAAACCTGTGCTCTTAATCCCCAACCCCACCAGAGTATCAAACACGCCAATACACCACAAAGCTCACGCCTGTGATCTGCAAACTGTTCATTCCCCGGCCTATGACTCATAAAATTCCCAGATGACAGTGACAATGTTGATCCACTGTCCTGTCATCAGCTAATGAATTAGGCCGGGCTCAGTGTGGACAGCAAGTGATAGCGCGTGCCTCACTGGGGTCTGTGAAAACACAGTGGCTCAGTCTGTGGCCTTATATGCAGGTTTTTCTGACGTTGCATCTATTAAAGCTGCAGATATCCCAGTGGCAATCCCGCACATTCTCTCAGCATGAAGCAAGCAGAGAGAGACAGTGACACGGGGCAGCAGAGGGTGTCCAATGTTATGAAAATAGACTTGTGTGAGCACACACACACACAGGATCTAGTCAAGTTCTAATAAATAATTATTGATTCTTGAAATTCTATTATACACACAGACAAGGAGGATTAGATTAATATAACAGAGGATAAGACAGGTGCATGTGTTGTGGGCAGGTGGGGCAACCTTATCTTAAATGTGTGTGTGTGTGTGTGTGCTTGTGTGGCTGCATGTCTGTGTATACTGGGGTGATTGAGGGGATCATTTCATAGTAAGAGGGATTGAGAAGGTAGTCAAGGACAGATAATCACTGTGAGCAAGAGCTGTCAGCTGTACACACAGAGGGAAAGCAGGTCACAGTTTTGTATAGAGAAGGTCAAACGAGAAGGGTACTGTGTGTGTGTGTGTGTGTGAGTGTGTGTGTGGTGAAGGGGGCAATTATCACTGATTCCCCAACTTGACCTGTACTGTGATAAACAGCACGTCTAAAGCTCACAAATGAACAGGTTTTATATTTTTTGATTAATCTTTACGGAAACATCTAGAAGCAGTGACTTTCTGAAGCCTTATTGTCACCACGAGGTTGCCTGGTGACCAGCAGAGATGCCAGGAAGCCTCTGCACCCGGCTAAGAAGTAGTTTGACACATAACTCCCCATAAAACTACTAAAACTAGCCTTTGGAAAGGGCCAGGCTAGCTGTTTCCACTTGTTTCCAGGATTTATGCTAGCAAGGCTAACCAGCTTCTGTCTGTAGTTTTTTATTTACTGTACAGATGAAAGAGTGGTATCGATCTTCTCATCTAACAAATACGTGCATTTCTGAAAAAGTCTAACTATTCCTTTAAGCAGCTTCTTCTTATGCATGTTAGCACCACATTCCCCCTATGTGTGTTTGTTTATGAATGTGTATTTGCATGTGTAAGTGTGGAAATATCAGCTTCATGTGGATGTGATGTATGTATGTTGTGCTTTACCGTGGAAGTGACCCCAGGAGGAATCCCCTCAGCAGGCCTGACTAATTTGACCATGAGCGTGGCATTAACTACACATTCCTTCCGAAGAGGTGTCTCCACTTCCCTCTCCCCCT